TATATATATATATATATATATATATACACACACACAGAGACAAACTATTAGTGATTATGTTGGACTACTTACACTTTTGTGAGTCTCTGAATGCTTTGAAGCTCTACTGCTGCTGTGGTGATATAATCGGGTCAGAAAAACAGGTGGAGCCCCCCCCTCACTCCAAGGTAAAACACATTTCTACACCGGCAGGTTGGGTTGAAGTCCCTTGGTCAAAACTAATATTTGCTTTTCAGGGAAGGAAACAATATTTAGATAAATTGAATTGAGAATATAGCTTTCAAGCTGATCATTGCTTGCTGAGGAACAATGCATTGTATGCACTCACACAGATCTCTTCAAGTTGTTTCAGGGAAAACTGAGCCCAGGTGTTGTGTTTCACATCGCTGGGAGGTGCCGAGTTGTTTCTCTTTCCTTCCAAACACAATTAAAGAGTGAAAAAATGTGTGAGAGTTCAGCTGGAGTCCCCAGTGTTGTTAGTAACCTCATGCAAAAGGAGGAACGACACTAAAGATGGTGTTTTGTGTGTGTGTGTATTATTGATTCAAAAGCTCTCTCCATGAATATTTGACACAAGAATGCTTATATTTCTTTTCCAGCAGAAACCCACTCGTTGACATCCCTGCAGTTCCCAGTAGAAGGCCGACTTCATTGCATTTCCCCACTGAAACGACCCACCTCACCTGAGGCAACACAGTGGGCTGGCCTGCTGTTGGACTATCTCTTGACACCTGGGAAACACGACTGTCATCATGCAGACCTCATCGCTCCGCCGCCAGATGAAAAACATGGTCAACAACTTCACGGAGCCCGAGATCAAGGTCCGCGAGGCCACCTCCAATGATCCCTGGGGTCCTCCCAGCTCGCTCATGTCTGAAATCGCAGACCTGACTTTCAATGTAGTGGCCTTCACCGAGGTTATGGGCATGATCTGGAAGCGGCTCAACGACCACGGAAAGAACTGGCGCCATGTTTATAAGGCGCTGACCCTGCTGGACTACCTGATCAAAACAGGCTCCGAGCGTGTGGCCCAGGAGTGCCGGGAGAACATTTACACCATCCAGACACTGAGAGACTTCCAGTACATGGATCGGGATGGACGCGACCAAGGTGTCAATGTCCGGGAGAAGGCCAAGCAACTGGTGGCTCTGCTGAAGGACGAGGAGAAGCTGAAGAAGGAGAGAAGCCAGGCACTGAAGACCAAGACGCGTATGGCGGGCTCCACCAGTGGCTTGGGCTCTGGATCCCTGCCTCCTCCGTACCCGGGGGGTCGCACAAGCCAGCCCAGCGCGGCAGGGGTCCATGGGGATGAGCATGGTATGTGCAGAAGCTCACCGTCTTCTTTTCACTGTGAGTAGCAGGCAAATCTAACATCTACACAATCATGCGAGAGTACATCTGAATACCTTCTTTGATATGTGACCCGTCATTTGTCAAGTTCATCAGATAAATCATCCCATGTGATGTTATAGATCTTCTTTTTCAACTTATGGCGACACTTTCAGGTGTATATCTCTAGTCTCTGCACAGTTTGAGACCTGTACGTCAATCAGTTCTCACCTGTGGAGGTCTGTGCTATTTTAATACCAGCAGCACGTTCCAACAATTTATTGAATTGCTTGTTCTTTTTGCTTTTTCGGTTTTGCTCCCTTCTGACTGTTGGGCAGCCGCATTCCTGTTATTCTCTTGTTTACAGTCACGTCAGCTAAACTGGATTCACAAAAGAGAGGAGGCCCAGTGTGTGGTTGTCTCAATCTACTGTGAAACCACAACTGGACACCATGTTTACTTTAAAGTATGATCCGTTACGCTACTGCAGAGATGTTGGTTAGGTGGCAAGATAATATAAGACCTAAGTGATCCCTCTGTGAGTGTGTAGGGGTTTGGACATCTGATGTCATTGACTTATCAACTACAGCAAACGGCTCAAACCTGAAAACACATTGTGGAAAAGCACCAAGTAGCTGTGTGTAGCATTCGTGAACGTATGCCTGGTGTGTACCATATACTTTTGTGGTCTGCGGTGGTTAATGGTGTTGATTAAAAGGTGTTATTCAGTCAGTAGCAGAGCTGTGGCTTCATGATTGCATCAGTTACTTTGATGTCTGAGGCCTGTTAAACAGAGATATGCCCACAGCTAGATCTGTTTTATTTCCAATAATCCATCAAAAGTCCCTTTTCTCCAATACATTTTCCACTTGATACACGTTCCTCGCATACTTTTCGAGGCGAAAACGTGTGCCAGTGGAAACATCTGGCATGAACAGTTGCCACGTTCAATAGGAGCAGGGCTTGCAATACGCAGGGAAAACATATGGAGAAGGCAGCTTTCAGGCTGGACAACCATAACAATTTCACACCTACAGACTTGTGTGCTGGGCTGTGTCAATGCAGTAAATAATTATTTTTTTTGCAATATACACTTGCTTTGCCCTGGGTGGATCTCTTGGAGATTCGAGGACACTGGCACATGGTTGGAGTGTTGGACAGAATGCTGATTGATGGTGGTGGGTGGGGGTCAAGAGGTTGGCAGCTAATTGGCAGCAAGCATTCCAGCTCAGACGCAGGATATTGAGGGGCAGCACACTGGAAATGATTGGTTTCTGAGACCCAATTTTGCCAATGTGTGGCCTGCTTCCCTCTCTTAGCCTTGTGACCGACAGTCTGACACCCAGACTGGAACCCTGCCAGCAATCCCCCCCCCCAATCCCCATCCCTTCTTTCAAACCAGGACCCGAGACCTGGGACCCACCGAGAGTATTCAGGCTAATAAGGTGGGCTCTACTCCAATCGTCCACTCCTCCGCCCCTCCACCACCCCAACTCTCCACACAGGAGCACCATTGTTCTCAGTGCAGGCAGGCAGTGGCAAGCAATGCCAGCAAAGGCCCTGAACAACGGGCAGTGGAAGAAAAAAACATTAACATGCAAAAAACAGCGCCAGCTCTTTTTCTGGCCTTTAAAAATCACCCTTAGTATTTCTTTCTTTGTTTTCCATCTATCTGTTTATGTTTCTGCTCCCTGTTCCTCACTTAACACCCTCTCCGCTCTGCTCTTCCTCTGTAGCCTCCTCTTCCTCTCCTCGAGTTGCTCCAGACATGGAGCAAGCTCGGCCCGCGACCAGTGGAGAAGAGGAGCTGCAGCTGCAGCTGGCCCTGGCTATGAGCCGAGAAGAGAGTGAAAAGGTACCTCTAACTAAGATAACACACACACACACACACACACACACACACACACACACAGTGAGCACAGACAAACCTTTAATCTCTACAGCACATGCGCCGACATGTCATGTTGTAACGCTGCAGCTAAACATTAAACGTCTCCCCCACACACAAACATGCTTGGACATGGTCTGTCATGGTGGGTGAGGCACTCCTACTGCCTGTCTCTACGAAGGCCACCATTTCCCAGAAGCTTTAACAGAAAGTGATATCATCAACTCTGATGTGGTCAATAACGGCGTGAGCGATGCCGAAGAATGAGGAAGCTGCGAGAGAACGAATGAAAAGCCAGACAGGATGTGTGCATTGATCCACTCCTAAAGCAGCCACAGCCTGGCAGAGTCTCCATGGCAAGGGCAGCCGCCGCCCTCTGTGACTTCTGTTCGGCTACGACAGGAATATATATTCTAGCGCGCTGCCGTTTCTGTGATACTCCTCTGTTCTTGATCAACCTTAAATCATTAGATTTCTTTAAGAATCACTCACGCAAAATCAAGCGTTTACCATTCCCTTTGATTAGTCTTCCTCCTTATCCTCCCTGCTTGACCCTTAGCCACCTCCTACAGTGGATATTGATGAACAGACCCAGCTCCAGATCGCTATGACGCTCAGCAAGGAGGAGACCCAGAAGGTACAAGTATGCTGGGACCAGGGAGGAATGACGCTTCCTATCCATCTAATGCCCTATAGCACATCTCATGTTGCTCTGTACACTGAAACCAACCTCACTGCTCAGTCTGGGCCCCTCTGAGAAACGCCTGCATGTACTTCTCACTCTCCATGGCCTCCCTTAACCCATGAACAGCAAAAGGACGTGTCATTTTCTCCAGCGACTAATCGAACGAGGCTTCACCCTTCTGTCCCACTAACCATTAAATCTCTCCTCTTAGTTCAGTAGTATGAGATACTCATGTCATGTTTTACTCTACCTGGGACACCTGTACACCTGCATGCAATGTACAGTGCTGCGAGTTTCTCCCAAGCATTATTTACACTTTGTTGACCAAATACTGATTGCAATTCCCTCCCCGGTTAACTTCACAGCCAGTCCCAGTCCCAGTCCCAGTCCAACCTGCACCTGCTGCACTGGAAATGGATGAGGACTCGCAGCTCCAGTTAGCCCTGAGCCTGAGCAAGGAGGAGCACCAGCAGGTAGGGTTTCGTGGTGTCACCGGGGGGCGAAGAGACACTTTTTGTTTTGGAGCTGCTGGGATTTAAACAATGTAATGTGTACCTGAGTTCTTTAAATGTAGTAGGGAGTCATCCGCTGTTTTTTTTTTTTCCACTTTTAATTATTTTCTCTGACTCTCTGTTAATCACCCACTATAAAAAAATCTTTCCTTACCTTCTGCCTTTTTTTGTTTTGCCTATTTAAAAAAACAAAACAGTTGTGTACCTATCACTCTGTTGTGTTATCTCTTGCAACATGTTTACTCCACCTCTCTCTCCCTGCCTCACTCTCTTTGTCTCTTTCCTCTCTCACTCTAGCACAATAGAGCTGCTCTGTTAGAGATCGCAGTGATGCTCTGCTCTCTCCTCTCTTTTGACCGCTCAATTTTCTGGTTTCATGCCCATTGCACACATCTATATCTGGGTCGTACGTACGTTGCCTAGGAAAACTGGCTTTTGTGCTCGTGGGCAGTCTCGGAGTCATAAATATAGTATGATGTAACAATATGGGAATTTTTCCTGGAAGCTGTCATGCCCAACGGCGTCCATGTGTCTGTATCTGGTGACAGGAGCAACTCAGTCGCCAAGGGCACGAGTCGATGCTGAAGAAAGCTCTGGAGGACAGCAAACGTGAGATGGAGTCTAAAGGCGGGGTATGATTTATTGGGGTATGGAATATCTCAATGGGGGGTGATGAAATATAACCATACACTGTAGGTTACTGTGGTTTTGAGAACATGCATCTATAGAACAAGGACCTAAATCTAAATTATAATACATAATAATAATGGGCAGGATTAATGGGCCTGATCAGGTTTTACATCTTAACCATTAACATACACCGTGAAAATCTCAAACCTGTTTTTCTTTAAAACTCAACTATCACTTTGTCACTATGGATTAGATAACTATCTGAGAGTGTTGAAGCAATATACTGAACTGACAGATTTTTTTTCTTGTTTTTGTGGTCAGACCGCCTTCATGGACCTGGTAGATGTTTTTGCGTTGCCCTCAGATCAGCCTCCTAGTGACCCCCGATGGAACAATGCCCCACGCCAGGCAGCTGCTCGTCCGGGGAGCACAGACCCCTGGGACTCCCTGGGTGAGCCTTCGAGTTAGATAGCCATGACCAAAGCAGGAGTGTTTAAGCACCAAGTTGTAAATAATATGTCGTAAATTATAGTCATCAAATATTTACTCTTTGAGGACCGAAACATTTGCGGCCTGATTCATTTCAGGTGTTTTCAGAAGTACCATAATAGTACTGTGTTTTTAATTAAAACCTCCTCATTCTTCATGTTCACAGTACAGTTTGTTCTGCTCACATGCTACAACGGGAGCCTCTCTCTCTTAATTCACCTCTATGTTGCTAAAGTAGGCAGCAACAACACCTCAAGAGTAGATCCTCCCTGGATGGCACCGCCAACATCCAACAGCCCCCCTCCACCATGGGAGCCCCCAGTCAACCCCTGGGAGGACCCGCAGAGCAACCTCAACGCCACCGGCCGAGAATGGGCCTTCTCTGCCAACACAGGTGATACGTGCACTCATACAGCTCAGCCATATGAAATGAATATGAGAGGCCAAAATGTTTTTTAAATTACATATTTAAATAATAAAAGTAAATTGTGTTTTTGTACGTTTATAGCCGCCTCAGGAGTTGATCCATTCTCAGTCCTCAAAGGAACTAGCAGGGAACCTTTTCCCCGACCTGGAAGCCCCTCAGGTAAACAATACATTACTTGTACTCTTCTCATTGTGATTCTGTGCATCCCAAGAACTTACATTGTCAGAATTTGCTCTCTTTCTGCTGTTAGATGGGGATCTGTTTGATGAGGTCATTGATGGAGGTCAGATGAATTTAAATGGGCGAAGGGAGGACAGTCCTGAGATATTTGACCTGTCACGTCTCGGAGAAAGCCTGGCAGCCCCCAGCCCTCGTACATGCCGGACACCTGAGGCCTTCCTGGGCCCCACAGCGGCATCCTTGGTAGACCTGGATAGATTGATCCCAGCGAATCCTCCTGCCAAGACCATGAACCCCTTCCTATCAGGTATTTCTTGTATTATAGACTGTAGATGCAACAGTCGTTTTGTGATCCCAGGGGAAGACCAGGAAAGTGCTTTGATAGCTGCAAATTTAGATTTAAATCCGTTCAGTGTTAAGTTCAATAACTTGTTGAAGCAAACCTAAACGTTTTCTGTTGTGTCTTTCTGTTTAGGCCTCAGTGCTCCGTCAGCCAACAATCCATTCCAAGCTGAGCAGCCCAAACTAACTCTGAATCAAATAGGCTTTGGCTCCCTCTCTTCAGCTCCCCAGGGCACCTCTCTTCCATACAGTGCCTCCTTGCCCCTGCCTATGAGCCACCAGCCTGCCAACCTCCCCGTGTCACTTACTCACCCCCCCCAGCCTGGTCTGGGCCTGCCAGGGACCCTCCCTGAGCCCCTGTTGCCCTTCTCTTCAGCCAGCACTGACGGATCACAGGCCGCACAGAACCCTTTCTTATGAGGATCGACTAAACTGGAGAAAATATCCAAGAAAAAAGGGGGAATGCCTTTAGGTTATGCTCTCCAAATATAACTCTAACTGCAGATTGAACTTCAGCCCCAAGGACTTGTATGAACACCCTATTCTTAGTTTTTATATTGTATTATAATACGGTCACCCTTAGATTGATGCAAGCTGGTTCTGCTCCTTACTGCAATAATCTGTCCTGCTCCTCTTGTCGATGATGCAGTAACAGAGTATAAAAAAAAATAACACCTTTGTATCAGAAACCATTAGTGTCATGTAAACATTCTTATGGCCATAACCTATTGCAATCTGAAATCAGAAGAAGAAAAAAAAAAAACATACACAAAAGCACAGTTTGATAATATTTTGTTGTCGCTTCACTTAGCCACAATTACCAGGCAAATGTATTAGGGCTTTTCACTTCGTCAACAAGTCTCTTGCTCACTCAGCTGTTTTGTGTGATTGGCTTCGCTGGCTACTGCTGCTGGTACATACAAGTGTAAAAAAAAATAGATTTCTTAAAAGAGACCCGAGCTATAGACCTGTCCGGTTCTTGAAATGTTGCCGAATCAATACGGTTACTGATGAGAATTATCAGTGTGTAGTACTTGATTTTACTATTGTGAAATGAATTCCTGGGGTTTAACTGATTGAAATGTAGTTTGGGAGGACTGGAAGTGCTTCAGAATTCACTATAAGCAAGGCAACATTAGAAAATGTATAAATCATGAGTTTTATTGATTGCTTGTGAACCACTGATTCATCAAATATAAGGGTACAATTGGAACACTGCCTCATTCTTCAGTTGGTTTCCTTGTTTTGTATTTCCTCAATTCCTGTGACATCAACACATTTAATTCTGAAATCATCACCAGCCAGGCACACGCCCAGTACCAGTTACAATATTTGTTGTGCGCTGTATGCCCCCTGCTGGTAGTGACTCACTACCACTATGCTGTGTCACTTACAGTCATCACTCTCATGTGTTGCTCACACTTAACTAGTCATTAACTGTGAGAGCTTATGTAGTTTCAGAATAAAACTAGTCCTTTATGAGAGGAGCATGAGGATCACACTCTAGTTGGTCACAAATCCAAGCAGTTCGCTGTTTATCTGTGCAGGATTGAACTATTTAAAGTGACCAGTATAATGAATACTTAACATGAGGTAAGAACTACAGTAGTGTTGGTTTGACAAATGGTCAACCATACAATAATTCACTCCTGCCATGATATCACCAATACATCTCCTTCCCCATTCACCCTTAACAGTCACCATATGTATTTGGTACCAAAAATACAGCAACAGCTTTTCAGTGGGTCCAACACTAAACACATTAAATCCTCTGTATTTGCACACTGAGGATACCGACATCTTTTAACAAAAGGCTTGAAGTCATCCAAACTCATGTGAGAGTAGAATCACAAACCGATGATAGTTCACTTGACTATGATGGACTCCAACCAGCTCAGCACCTCCTGAAGTCCCTGTCCAGTGTGGGCACTGAGCTCCAGTATCGTGAGTGGCTGAGTAGCAGATGCAATGATGTCGTCCATTCTAAACAGTGATTTTATCTCCACGAGGCTCATGGTGCACGGCATGTCCCTGGAAAAGGGTGGAAAGAAAGAGAGAATATATACAATGGCATGAACAGCTTGTAGGTATTGCAAGTGAAGAGTAGGGATTGTTGCGTATGTGAGTGTTACCTCTTGTTGAACAGAATAAGCACAGAAACACTGTGCAGAGGCTCAGCGGAGAGTACCGACAGCAGCTGGATGCAGGACGAGGATATCTGAGCAATGTTTGCTGAGTCCACTGTGAACTGTGAGAAAACAAAACACACATTCAGGGAAATGACTACGACAGTCGGTTTGTGTACCTCTACCAAATGTCACAAATAGATGCAGCTTGTTTACAAAAAAACCAACATACAATGACAGAGGAGCAGTCTTTGAAGTAACTCGGCCATATAGGGCCCATGCAGCCTCCCAGCTCTCTGAGTGTCACCTTCTTCTTCTTCAGTGTCAGGTCTGTGAGGTTGGTTCCTACCTGTGGAGGTTTAAAGAGATTGGATTACAGGTTATGGCCCTGTCTCATCAAAACTGAGCCTGCAAATGTATTAAAACCAGGATTAAAAGTACCTTCCAATATTACTTACTGTAGGCAGAGTAGAAGGAGCTTCCCCTAGTTCACCTAATCCATGCAAACTGAGCTGTAAACTAAATCTGTTAAGAAAAATATCCAGTGCATTAGCTTCTATAAACTGTTCATATATTATATATTTGGTCAGTTGTATAAAACTAAGTTATTTAGGTTAGTATAGTGTTTGAATGTAACGTTACTTAGTTAACGGTTGTGTATTGCGTTAGCTACTAGCTAACGTTATAGCAGTTTACCAGGCTAAACTAGCTAGCTAGCTAGCTAACGTTAGTGAAGCTACACAACACTTTATATTTACAGGTTTTTTTCGAGTTCTAGATTATAACGTTCAGCTGACCAAAAGGATATTTTGTAAACGTTTCATCAACAACGTTTTTCCGACACCAGTCGCTCCGAGAAGCAGACAAATGTCATTGCTGCTCATTTCGGTTTTGCAGCAGAAGGACACTGAAGCTACAGTGGTAGCATGTAACCGATGTAGCTTCATGTGGCACCATGGCGACGATCACGTGACCGTGATACGTCCCTGTGATAGGACGACGTAGGAATCACGTGTAAATATAACGGAAGAACAACAACATCCACGGAACTAAACTAAGCTGAACTTCTGGCGCTGCATTGCGTGTTAGTGCTACTATAAATCCACAAAATAATTGGTTGTGGGAAATAATAATGGAAGCTAAGTTAAAGAAAGAGTTGGGCACCGCCATGCTGAAGTCCACTGGTCACTCAGGAGGAGGATGTATAAGCGAGGGCCAGAGTTATGATACTGACACTGGGAGAGTGTTTGTGAAGATAAATCACAAGAGCGAGGTATTTTATCATCATTGTTTCAGATTATTATAGTGACGTGTGTTTAGCTGGTGCCCGCTAGCTACACATTCTGAAAGCCAGATAGTATCTGACTGGCACTGCACTGTACTGTACTGTTTTGTTACTGATTACGCACAATGCAAAGTAGTGAAGATATGTGCCACTGCACTGCTCACCAGCCCAAATCCGATTTTTTTCTTTTGATTCAGGCCAAATTGATGTTTGATGGGGAGATGGCCAGTTTGGAAGCCATTTTAAAGACAGAAACTGTTAAAGTCCCCAAGCCTGTGAAGGTGATTGAACTGGACACAGGAGGATGTGTACTTGTGATGGAGCATCTGGACATGAGAGGTCTTACCAAGTAAGATCTCTCTCATTCAATTTGTTCAGCACTGTATCAGTAGAATAGAGGGCAACATTAAAACATAGTTGTGCAAGTGTAGTTTGTGCTTTTTAAAAAAAAAAATACAAAATACTTTTTTTTTCTTCTTCAAATTCAATGTAGGTACTCAAAGCACCTAGGAGAGCAGCTGGCAGATCTGCATGTTCACAACAAGAGACAGTTGGACAAATTAAATAAAGAGCAGCAGACAGTGGGTAATTCACCTTAACCTAACTTTCGTACATGTAGACAAATGCACAAAAACATCGTTCATCCTCTTGCCATTGCTAAAGTGAATACCAATTAACTCTTATAATTTAAAATAGTTTATTGCTGATTAAACATAACTTATTTGACTGTACACAGGAAAAGGAGCTGGACAATCAGAGGTGGCGGTTGTTGAAACATTTGGCTTCAGTGTACCTACATGCTGTGGATATCTACCTCAGGTAAAAAGAAAAGTATTGTGTCTGTATACTGGGCTGTGTACTAAGTATGTAGTGTCTATGTCTTTAAGATGTGACGGTAGTCCTTACTGTATTTGTCCCTTACCTCCCCAGGAAAATGAGTGGCACGATGACTGGGTGATGTTTTACTCCCAGCAGAGGCTGCAGCACCAGCTTAACATGGTGGAGAAATCGTATGGAGACAGGGAGGCCAGAGAACTATGGGCCAAGCTACAGGTGCACAGAAACAAAACATACTTTACACACGTTCCTATGATTGTATCAATGCTTTGACAGAACAACTTACATATTGTGCCTTTTATTTACAGCTGAAGATCCCTCAGTTTTTCACAGATGTGGAGATTGTCCCCGCTCTCCTCCATGGAGACTTATGGGGAGGCAACGTGGCACAGTGTGCAGAGGGCCCAGTCATCTTTGACCCAGCCTCCTTCTACGGCCACTCAGAGTATGAGCTGGGTATCGCGGGGATGTTCGGTGGCTTCAACAGCTCTTTTCACTCTGCTTACCATGAAAAGATTCCTCAAGCACCAGGCTTTGCAAAGAGAAACCAGCTTTACCAACTCGTCCACTATCTGAATCACTGGAACCACTTTGGTGGGGGCTACAGGGGCTCTTCAATAAGTATAATGAAGAACCTACTGAAGTAATTGTACTCGCATTCTATTGTAGAAAGCGTCATAGACTTAAACTCAAACCAAGTATTATGTATGTATTGCCAGATGCTAATTTGACCATAAATAGTGTGGCTAATTGTTGAAGAGACTAAACATAACATTCTAACATTGTAATGTCTGTCACATTGTGTAGACAATACAGAATCAACATAGCTAAAGAGTTTTGCCCTGTCTGCTCCATCTGTACCAACCTGCTTCATATGAAATCTTTAATTGTATGTTTGAACAAGGATATATACTCTATAGGCATTTTTAAATTCTGTATTTCCTACACTGACTTGTGTGTAGGTTAGACAACCAAACATGACCCTTAATATGCAAAACTGTTTAAAAAGGAAAGGCTTACCACACACCAAGACCTCATCTCTTTTCTTAATTTTTTTAATTATTTAATTGGCTGCATTGAACCAGCCACTGACTGATTGGACTGCTGTGCCAAGGACATCACATTTTCCCAGTGAATGCGATACTTTATGCTTTATTTACGTCATGTACACCTACAAAATGTCGCTGTATTTTAATTAACGCTTGAAATATTTAATGTCCACCGCTTAGTCAACGGTACATCCTGGGTTGAACCAAAGTATTTGTCCTGACCTGCTGTATTTGTTATTTATCTGGTATGAGAACGGTAGGGGATCAGACTGTAAGACCTCCCTCATCATAAATAAGTCTTAGTTTGATCCCTGCCACCAAATGAACAACAGCTTCCTCTCCCAGGCTGTTGTACACCTTTCCTCCCAGCACAACTTAGTAACATAACATACACATATTAACCTAGTCACCTTAATTTTGGTTGCTACTTTGCTTATATGTGTGGTGTTATGTTGATATGTACATTTTTGTTTTATACTAGAGTATTTGCTCTTTGCAGTATATTAGACATACTCAGATTTTGATGCACCCATAGACTTTATATATTTTATGTTTTTGTCTTTATGCTTTAATGTTTTCTCAGGTATAAATTAACAGTCCTTCATGAACTTGAAATGAAAAATCACAATGGTCCAGGCTGTGCCATTGAACCAGTAATTCACAGCTCTGCTATGTAGCGTAACAAATGCTTGGGAAATTGCACTGATGGGAAAAGTATTCAATGATTTAAGATAAAAGTACTAGACTAGAAATACTACAGATAAAAGTCATGCATTCAAAATGTAACTAACTTGAGTAAAAGTACAAAATTATTATCAGCAAATGATTATTTGTCTGTCTGAATGGGCCCTGTCAGCATGATATTACCACATTACTGGACCATTATTATTGATGCACTAACATGTAAAAGCACTTAAATGTTATAGTTGTTTGAGGTTGAGCTAATTTTAAATATTTTATATACTCTTGTTAGATCTGTAACAAGGTATGATATTTGATATAGGCCTATGATCACTTTCGTTTGTAAAATCTTGATCTGAAAACTAACTTGTAGGCTAGTTATAGGTAGCTGTCAAAAAAGGTACAATATTGTCATCTGCAAGGTATTAGAGTAAATGTATAAAGTACCCATAAAATGAAATGAGCAAACAATGTTCAACATTGAGCGCTTGGCGCATCACGTGACCTACGATAGGCGTGAACGTCGGAACCTTCTCGCTCGCCGTACAGAGGCAGGATGTGAGTACAAACCGCTACGCATCCAAGAAAGATGCAATGAGGGACTCCTTCGTCGCTATTGTTCAGTGAAATTCATTTCAGTTTGCGTCCAGTCATTTTCACGCCAATACCCTCCAGAACAAGCCAGTGTCGTAGCTATAAGTGTAATACATTTAGTTATTTCCTCCGCTACATTTTTAATTGACGTTCGTCCCTGTTGCTAGTCAATGCTAATGTTAGCTAGCTAACTTGTTCATAAGTGATAACAACAAACGCCAACGTCAGCCTCTGCAACAAAGACAGTGTTTGCAGGTAGAAGCCCGGCACAATGGCCTTGTCGGAGACTGAGAATGGATGTCCCGGTGGTGAGGGAGGAGAGTCCATCGTTCAAACGTGCGTGTTGGGAGGCTTCAGTGAGAGCAGTGAGACCAAAGCTCTCCTCTCCAGCCTACTGGAGGTCCACGGCGACATTGCGACAACCGAGTCCGCCACACAGAGGTTCTTAGGTGAGATGATCACCCACGAAGACAAACAAATGAATCAGTGCTTTGGTTGTTTTCAGTCTCGCAATTCATCACACTGCCCATTTCCTCCCACAGTGATAATGAACAGATATCAAGAGCAGCCTCATCTGCTGGACCCACACTTAGGTACAATATGTCTCAAATAAATCTGTGTCAGTACTGTAGATTGACATGAAGAACGTGTATATATAATATATATATATATTATTGCTGCTGTTCAATTTGGTTATAGAATGGATGCTGGACATGATACTGGAGTTGGTGAGGAGTGAAACATCTCCTGCTTCATTGGTTCATTTGGCCTTCAAGTTTCTCTACATCATCTGTAAGGTCAGTCAAACACAGGTTTTACCTCACCGCTGTTGTACTACTACTACTACTACTACTACTCACCAGACTGAACTACACAGAGTACAACCTAGAAACTCTTATTTCACTGACACAGGAAAGTTATCCAGCTAACTCAGTTCACATATATATATATATTTTTTACCTGGTCAGGTCAGAGGCTACAAAATCTTCATGCAGCTTCTCCCCCATGAGGTGGCAGATGTCCAGCCAGTCCTGGACCTGTTGTCCAAGCAGGATCCCAAGGACTCTGAGGTGAGATTGGCCTTACTTATCGAAGGCAAACATGATCATTCAGGCCTTCACAATTACGCCTCTAAAAATCTGCCTCAGACAGGTTTGCATATATAATTTTTGTTGTTGTTCGCCTCAGCAAACATTGAACAATAGTGCATTTTACCACCTACTCGTTCCAGACTTGGGAAACTCGCTACATGTTGTTGTTGTGGCTGTCCATGACCTGCCTCATACCCTTTGACCTTTATCGTCTGGATGGTCATCTGGGGTCAGATGGTGGAAAGGTCAGAGAGCCCACCATGGACCGCATTCTTGCTATTGCAAAGGCAAGTTAAACATATGATACACTTTTGATTCCATTTTGCTGTTTTGTTTGTAAGAGAGATTGGACTGTATGTCTAGGTCTCACTCCTCATAGTGGCTTGACTCTGTTATCAGGATTTGTTCATCTTCAAAAACATCTGAATAAACTTTCTAAATCTTTGACAACAGTAATTCTGTGCCAGTAGCTTTAAATCTGAGCAGATTTTTTCAGCCTGGCTAGTGTTTGTGGATTTGTTTGTAGTTACTTCAATGTTTAAGAATGGGATGATGAGCTACAGTCATGTTATCATACACTACGAGTAACACGTGTATTTTTGTTCCAGTCTTACCTACTCGTCAGTGATAGTCCTCGGGATGCTGCATCTGTACTGGTATCAAAGTAAGTGCATGAATACCACATAAGTAGTAATACATCATATTTTCATATTGTGGTTGTATCCAAAAACATCACAGTTTGAAACATTGGAACAATAATACAATTCACACAAAAAAAAAATGGTTTTAGTTTTTCAATACTTACGACTGGACTTAATTTTACTCGGACGACATTCATTATAAAACGTGAATATATTTTTGCAGCCACAAAATCCCCCACGTCTTACCCTGAGCATTCCTGATGTTGATAGACTCGTATGAACCTATCAATACTATCGTAACGAAAACAAATTCAGTTACTTTTTTGATGAAGTCAGTGCCGTCGCAAAATCAGTGGCAACTCATTTCTCATCTGCAGTACTGGACCCTGGTTATGCATTACTCCTGGAAATAAGGAAATGTCACATTTGAATTTTAAAACTCAATGAGATATAAACTCTACCCTCCTGAGTTAATGCTACGTGTAGGAGAATAACATCAGCTGTTCCTGGTCCGTGACACAGTCCAGATGTTGCCTCATTTTATTGGACTCTATCTTTGGCCCTGTTTTCCAGCGGGCGCTTCCTGCTCTCGCGATTTTTTTTCCTGCAGGTTACAGGATTGAGGAAGTAAACAACTAATTCCAGATGAGGCTAAGCTAATGATAGCTCGGCGGTATTTAAGGAAGAAGTGATGTTTTATGACCTCATCTCTTTGATATTTGCTAGATTCTGGACGTCACGGCCCGTCTTCGTTTTTTAGCGCGAGGCCACGACGGTCACCGCGCCAGCGAGTTTGATTGAGAGGTTAGTGCAAACATGTCGAAAACACCGGAGGCCGACGTCAACGAGCATAATGTCCGACACCCTTAACGACGGACAAAAGACGAGATGAGGAGCAGGTGTGAGCTCCTGAAGGGCCGCTTTGGGAATCTCGTTGCCCTAAGAAAGATGGCGATTAACCATTTCATTTTATTATAACGATGATGCTTTCATAATATTTAACTTTTTAAAATGTAGCTTTATTGGACTTAGTCTTTGCGCAGTCACTCTCAGGCCTGTTTTGGAGTCAGGACTTGAGTTTGTCTGTGTTCAGTGTTGTGACGGCCCCATCGGTACTGAAGTGCACTACGGTTGACCAATAGCATTAAATTGAATATTTATTTTGTAAAATGTTTTGAATAAATATCTGTTGTTGAAATGACTGTGATTAAAAGCTAACACAAGTAGCTACGTGGAGTTCTGTCTCAGATGTTTGCAGTTCATTCCACATTTAGATATTTTATATGTGATTTTTGCATAATTTTGTTTCCTCAAGATAAAAATCAGTATTGTAAAAATATCCGTTTTAATATTGTGATTGATTTACAACATATAGACATGCCCTAATAGACTGGAAAGAGTGCATTTGCTTTGTTGAGGTCTTAAAAAGCATTAAAAAAGAGTGCACATAACTCTGTTGTGCACTCTTCTAATCTTCAATCATCCACCTTCATGTGTTGTTGTACTGAATGTATGCTATGGTCGTGAAGTGTACAACTAATCATTATTATTCTGTGTATTTGGGAGAATAACAAAAAGCTTGTTGCATATGTCAAGGCCAGACGTCTAGAATGTAAAGCACGGGCCAATCTCCAAAAAGTTCTATGAAAATATGGCAACTCGCATCAAATACATAATACGATCCAGATAAAGTTATTGTTACTGTAATTATGTTTTCAGCCAGTAGAGGGCAGGGTTGCTCTTTGACTCTCTTTACTGGCGTCTGAATTTGTTTCTCCACATGAAACCTTTTCACTGCTTGTGTGTCTTCATTGTACGTGACTGTACAGGTTCATGACGCGCCCCGATGTGAAGCAGAAGTGCCTCGGAGAGTTTTTGGACTGGAGCCTGACCGCTATATCCCAGACCAATGATCAGTCTATGAGAGACATTATGGTGCTGGACGGTGCCCTGCAGTCTCTGGTAAACATACATATTACTCACTGATCCCCCTCAAACCTGTAGTGTTGTCATGCACCACCTGTCTCTGCGTGTGTCTGAAGCCAGTGTAATCTGTGTGCACTGCTGTATTCAACGATGGTTTACAAGAGCTGACATGACTGGTATGTCTCACACAATGCCGAATGTGGTTTTGACAGGTGTGTAATGCACCTGCTGCGTGTGTGGGATCTGCTGTTTCCAGCGACTTCTGTCAGTTTAATCCACTGCTTTCAAGATAAACGCTTCTTCATCAAATGAGAATGGCGACGAGAGTATTTAGTCCCAATGAAATCACCCTGATGCCCCTCACATTACACCTGTTCTCACTACAAATCAAGGCTTCATTTAATGTCGGCTAAGTGTAATGCAGCCCTCAAGCGAGTACATTACGTTCATATCATTGGCACTTAAACTTGCATAAGATGTTTAGAAAGCTTTCCTTTGTGATTCATGTTACCCCGTTCCAGCCTATGTGGTGCTTAGGGCGTTCAAAACTGTCTCTCTGTGTTCAGCCAACCTACAGGACCCATACTCTTGTGTGTGTGCATTGATGTTAAAGTGCTGCAAAGAATCAAGATGGAAGGACAAAAACAATTGTCAAGAAATTAGCTAGTATGAATTTAGTTTTTGAGAGTGTTTGTTAATGCAATAAAAAGGTGTGATGCCTTCCCAAATGTTACTGCTGTTATGTATCTTGAACTGATTTTGGTCATCTTGTTTTTGTCCCATAGGCAACGCTCTTCAAACATGGAAAACGAGATGACGTCCTGCAGTATGGTTGGTTCCCTTTCCCCTTTTATCTGCTCTAATCTCTAAAGTGGAGGTCAAAGCAAAAACAGAATTTCCCAACTCATGTGATTGTGACATTGTAGTCTCTGTTCAGTTGCTTTTGTGTTTTGCTAACAGAATTATTTGTGTTCGCACACTAAGTTAAACGGCCCATGCTGGAGGGGAGATATAAAAACAAAGCCTTCCCATACTTGAATATGATCTACAATTCAACTACATGTGGCACTTTCTGTAGAGACTCTCCAGACGTATAGCTGACATGTGACTCTTGTCAATAGCATTCAGGATTATTTATTGTTTGTTTACCTGTGAAATGCAAATATTGACATTTTTGAATTGTCAACATCGTGAGAATGTATTCGTTATAACGGTGTTCCAACAGATAATATTGACGTCTTTATTCGTCCCCAGCTCCTGCGGTTATGCGGTGCCTGGAGCAGAAACGTCTGTCAGAGAGCAGCCAGGCCATGCTGAGGAAGCTCGGGGTCAAACTAATCCAGAGACTTGGCCTCACCTTCCTGAAGCCACGTTTGGCCGCTTGGAGGTCAGACCTAACGCCAGCTCATTATATCTAATGTTGGTAAAACTAGGTCTCCAACCACAGTGCCATTTAAATAAACTTTAAATCCATGTTTTTTTTAGGTATCAGAGAGGCAACCGCTCACTAGCAGCAAACCTTTCCGCGTCCCAATCTACGACGGTCTCTACCGCTGCGACTCCTGTAGCGGAGGCACGAGACATGGAGGAGGACTATGACATTCCTGAGGAAGTGGAGACTGTTATTGGTCAGTTTCACCCTCCACCCTGTTTAAGTCGCTTGTGCAGCATTACTGCTGCTCAGAAATTTAAATGTGCGGTTTTATTTTACAGAGCATCTGCTGTTAGGACTGAAAGATAAGGAAACTATTGTGCGCTGGTCTGCAGCAAAGGGGTAACTGTCTGTTCATGGGTCACCTAACAAGTCCTCCTCACTGCTGCTTGTCTTTTGTATCCTTCATGTCAAAATCGGTCCATGTGTTACAATAACCATCTGTTTTATTTAACCCATCAGCATTGGAAGGGTGACTGGGAGGCTTCCCAAGGAGCTGGCAGATGAGGTGGTTGGATCAGTGCTGGACTGCTTCAGGTAGGTTCATGCTTGGGGCATTTTAGCTCTCTCCATCAGCTACGTTATGCCATTTATCATTTATTTTTCTTTTTTTTTTTTCTTTCAAGAAGCCGCATATTTCACTAGTGTGTGTGTGTGTGTGTATATATGTTCTTTTTCAAGCTTCCAGGAAACAGACAATGCTTGGCATGGAGGCTGCCTGGCTCTGGCAGAACTGGGTAGGAGAGGCCTGCTGCTGCCTTCCAGGTTGACAGATGGTATGTGACCACACATTCCCATTGAGATAGTTATCATAAAATACATGGAAGAGTGTAATTAAGTCAGTTCTGGTCATTTTATTTATTCAACATATTTACATTTACAATACATTAACCACATCTTACAAAAATGTACAGATTTCAATATCAACGTCCCATATTAAAAAAAAATGCTTTTCACATTTGGTGTGAGAACGAGACAAAATATGCAAATCTAGTCTTTGAATTTAACAATTATTTTTTTACAGTTGACCCTGTGGCAGTGCTGTAGACATTTTAATTATTAATTATGTTCAATAAAATTGATCTTTTCAAGTTTAGGTTGAAGGTTAGAGATGCTCTGTGCTTCATACCAAATAATTACAACAGTCAGAGTTTAGCAGCAGCGAGGCCTCCTCCTCCTCCTCCTCAGAGCCCATCCTGGTGCTTTTGCTCTCTTGTTTGGTTTATGGCACTTGCTATCAGCCTGGCCACTGTTTGCTCGTTTCACACCAGTTTTCTTAGCCATAGCTGTGTGTCTGGTCTTCTTCGGAGAGCCTGAACTTCTAGTGTCTGTGGAATCCTCTGAGGGCCTGTCTGCGGCGCTAAAGTCACACGAAGAGGAGGTTGCAATGGCCAGCTGACAGAGTGCCAGTGCCGCAGTCTGCCTCTGGTCACATGGTTCTTCACCCAGCTCGGTGTCCGGCCTCGTCTGAAGATCTTCTGAAAGGCTTGGGGCAGTGCTGTGCACGGGGCCGCTATAAGAAGCTCGCAGGCTGAGGTTCAGAGGCAGCTCTGTGTCTGAGCACCTCGGCCTGTGCTCAAATGGACTCTTTTCTTTGTCCTGCTTCCTCGTCGAGAGGTTCAGCGGGGTCAAATCTTTTCTGCTGTTCTCATCATCTCGGTCTGGTGTTGTTTCAGGACATGGCTCAGAGGAATACCTGTTGCTCTCGGCCGATCTGAAAGGATGACAATAACCAGTTACAGGACTGACCTCCATTAATTACAAAGACAACACACTGCAGCTCAGCTAAGCCAAGAATAAAGATCAGGACATGTTTACTCACCCTCCGTCCACATGTAGAGTTCTTAACTGCAGCAAGCTTTTGGCAGACTCCTCCAGTCTCATGTCGGTTATGACGGGTTGAACGGGTGCAGCTGTGTGTCCTGGTTGCGTGGTGGCCTGTGGGTCGCTCTCGTTAGTGTAGTGCGGGGCTTCTGTGTCTTTCTGGATGACGTGTGCGTGACTGGGTCTGTCAGGGGACCCCAACGCCGAACAGCCCTCTTTCGGGCTCTGCCTGGTTTCCTTGTCTCCACTTTGCCCGTGTCTGCTCTCCTCTTGTGTAGATGTGTTGAGGCTGTCGAGACTGGACCGGGAATGCACGTACAAGTCATAATCCTTTGGCCCGAGGGCCGGCCCATACAAATCCAAAGGGAGATATCTCTGTCCTGGGATTGGCATGGAGAGCTCGTGGGGTCGGTACAGGGTGAAATGCAGAGGGGGGCCCGAGTGAAGAGGGTGGCAGTATCTGTATGGGTATGGGGGGAAGAGGGAGGGGTGAAGCGGGGCGATGGGCTGCGGCACCACGGGCCTCTGGGGATCCATAAACTCTGGCCGGAAAGGAGGAGGATTTGGCTCATTCGCGTGGTGGTTTGCCGGGAGGTAGTATGGTTGATACAGGGGCCGCTCAGGCAGGAGATAAGGAGCGTAGTCGGGAATCATGGGAGGAGGGAATGGTTTTAAGGGAATGGAAGAAGTGCCCCATGGGAAGCCTGGGTGGTTGAAAGTGGGAACGGGAGCTTGTGAGTCCTCTGGCTGCTGCACAGATGACTTGAAGGCTTCTGCGCCATCACTTTTGGGTGTGACATGGGAGAAGGCAGACAGGCGCGGCAGAGACCTGTTCTCATTGTTGTTCTCTCCCTCTATTGCAGTATTTGAGTTTGTCACACTCTGGCTGTCCTTATTGACTGGACTGTCGCACCCAACGTCTACGTCTTCTGTGTCATCTCTGCTCTCAGCACCGTGGTTCTTGGAACTATTGTTCTGCTCTGCTGGTGGGGGGCTCGGACAGTCCTTAGACTTGTTGGGGACTTCCCGTAATACAGGCTTCACCTGTCGGGCCGTTTGCCCACTTTTCTGCGACATCAGGGAGATGGAGTTCTTGCACAAGTTATATTTCATGTGGTTGAAGAGATGGGACTTTTCATTGCAGGTGAAAGGACACTGGAAACAATGGTACTTGTAAGGCTTGCCTGGCGGTCGAGGAATGTAGTGGGGCCTTTTCGGCTTGCGTTCCTGAGGGGTTTCCATCTTGATTCCAATGGATGTTTTCTGAAAGAAAAATACATCATAATACAGATGAGCAAATGATGTTGTTTTGTTTTTTTTAGGCTCTTAAGTTATTTGGGAATGTGACACTAAAGTGTATAAAAGAAACTCCTGAATCATTGCAGCTTTTGTACCCAAATGTCCACTGAGCTAAAGAGGCTAATAGAGTTGTTTGACTGGTTCAGGTGGAGGGAGGCTCTCATTGGGAGGCTTTTTTTTTTTGTTCCTTTAAGCTGCTTGCGCAGAAAAAAACAATCTCTCGCTGCACAAAACACTGCACCCTCAGGCTAATGTATTTCTGTAACTGTTGCTGCACACTGGACTAGAAATAGAAACAGAGAAATGGTTAAATAGGGGAACACCTGTCTACTGTATGCAAAAGCGTACCCACATGTTTGCATATGTGCACACCTGTCTTTGTGTGGTTCTGGTTGATTGGCAGCAGCCTACAAAACGCCTCTACCTGACCGTCCACCTGTCTATCCGACCTGATGTCACCCTACTCGTCTGTCCTATAGAGCGAGAGAGCCGCTAAGGCGCTAGGCAGACAGGTGTTGGGCAGGCTTCTCGCTGACTAACGCAGCCTCTGCAGACCCAGAGGGCATGCAGAGACTTGCTCTCTCTATCAACCTTACTAAACTCTGTGCTGTCGGCGTGGGAACCACAAGCCACCTGCTTCCCATGACTACACCTGCGGGATGCATTCAGCCTCCCAATCGTCATTTGATGAGCTCAACGGCTCTGAAGATGCAAAAGTATGATAAATAACTGTTTTACGAGGCAATCGTTAAAATAAAGCCATTTTGTTAAAAAACGGTGAAGCAGGAGACGTCTGAACCGCTTCAGTTTCAGCCTTTTGAAATGAAACCTCTCCTAAAGCTGTGAGTTAAGTGCTGCTGGGTGCCGCGTGGAGGAACCTGCTTGTCGTGCGCTGTCGCAAGAAGTTGTCACTCAAGTTTGTGCAGCATGCAAAGCCACTCCTTTCTTAAGGACTGAAATTCACTCAAATCCCTTTTATAACAACGTTTCTCTCCAACTGTGTATAGAATCCAGTCAAAACATTTAGTTTCTGATTTTTTTTTTTTTTTTTTTTTACTGAACTAAAATATATATATATTTGGTTTCAGCTCAGGTGGTGTGTTTTTTTTTTTTTTTTTTTAAAGAGTTGTCTAACTAAGTGACTAGTAACTAGTCTTTTTTAAGCATTACCTGTGAATCAGTCAAGAAGGGGCTAATTCAAATGCATAAGTAACAGGTGCGTACGCAGCTTATACCAACTCTATATTATACAAACTAGGTCATGGTACCTTTACAAAGACGCTCTTTTCCAATGACACAAAGTCTTTGACGGAGTGCTCTAAATAAGTCAATTTAAGGGATGATGAGAAAGAGGAAATTACCTGCTTCGGTTGTAGCAACAGTGTCCTCTCCTCAGTGTTCCGCCTGCAGAGAGCTGCTCCGGCGTCTTCAGCCAGCACGAGTCAGGACGGTCGCTCCAATATATGTGAAAAGTTCAGACTAGAGTGTGTGTGTGTGCTGTATTTGGTTAGTTGTGTGGGGAGTTCCTCTCTCTCTGTTGAGATGTCGTCTAACTAGTGGGTGGGGCTTCAGCCCAAACAGCAGGGCCCTCAGGCAACATTGATGTACCTGATATTAGTCAAGCCTCAAGCGATGATTTACATGACGGGGTCAGGTGGGGGCTCTCGCTCCTTCTGTCTCTAACCATCTCTGTCTCTTGAGGAAATGACCACACAGGCCTCCAATTACTGTAAATACTGTTGATTTCCACCAGCGCGCCACGTTTCTAGTGAAGTCCAGGAGCAAGCTGGCAAGACTGGCATGACGTATCCATACATGCAGGTTCAATTAGGGCTGATCTTGTTTATTGTGTTGAAGAAAACTAATAAAGTGCTGCAAACGAGTTGCTTTAAATTGCCATTACTACAATCTGAACTGCTTTCCACAGTTTGGAGGCTTAGTGTATGGAACATTAAAATGTTAATCTCAAAATAAACACTACATCTAGCACACACACACACACACAACCTTAATTCAGCTAGTTGTTACTCTGTGTAGTCAAAGAGTTTCTGCTGTGTTTCGGGTCTGATGCCTCACCACAGTATGCAATATTGTGCTCAGTACATGCTACATTTTTTCATTGGCATGGCTATCGTTCTTTGATCTTGTGTTTCATTTATTGTTCTTCATCCTTGTCTGCTGTCTACTGTCCAGTTGTGCCGCTCATCGTGAAATCCCTGACCTACGACGAAAAGAGGGGCGCGTGCAGCGTCGGCTCCAACGTGCGGGACGCTGCCTGCTACGTGTGCTGGTCATTCGCCAGAGCTTATGAACCCAAAGAGCTGGAGCCCTTTGTCACTCAGATTGCCAGGTAAACCTCAATCGGCTTGTGATAATGTTCTGATGTTTAAATTGATCTCCTGCTGCTGTTTGTTGATCATACCAACACATTTCCTCCCTGTGAATGTACTGTACATTTACACAGCATGACATCACCAGTATGCCATAATTGCGACCCTCGAGACTAATGTATTTGTGACGAGTTGACTTATCCGCCAATAATACCATCCCACCAGTATGTACAGACTCTAAATATGTTCCTCTACTGTTTAAACAAGAAGTAGCAGCTACAATCAAGAGATGAAAGCAGGATGAACTGTTTTAATAACAGTAAGATTTTTATGAGCCATTCACTCCCTCAAACCAGTTTCTCTGAGCCACATCAGTCCTACATGTCCCCACATAACCAGCTGATACGTGTATGTTGAAGTAGGCTGCAGATGTTAATTACACAATGCCATTCTAAGAAAAAAGATCTAACCTGCGTAGCCCTGTTTTAAAACATGTGATCTGTAACATTGCTGGCTCCATGTACCTGTGTAATTGTTGGCTTTTTGCCAGTAACACACAGGCGACTTTTACACTCATTTTCATGACAACCTCCGGTTTAAAAGGCAAAGAGCTGCATGCTCACGAGATATTTGGCAGAGAGAGACACACAAGTGAACTTATTTGCATTATTTAAATTCTTTAACGTTATAAGAGAGTCAATTCTGCTCCCTGGAATCGAATAACTCTCATTGAATGGCAGTTGGGACTTGTTTTTGTCTTGTTTGCTCACATGCTGCGTGTAAAACGTTCATCAATTCATTCACGTTACTAGATTTCCTCGAAGACTTTTGCGTAAAAGTGGCCATGTTGCTTATTCCGACATGTGACCGCTTTTTAAATCACCATCAGATTATCAGAAGTGGTGCATGTCTGTAAGGGGCTTATGATTTATCTCCAGAGTGGGACTAATTTTTTTTGGGAGGGGTCAATAAACAGTTTTATTTGCAGTTTGCTCCGCAGTAGGGACAGCCCGAACAGTACTGAGTAACATCTTAAAACATGCGCTTCTATTCGGCAGCCAGGCTGCTATATCACCCAGTGACGTACGCTCGGTCTTTGTCAATAGTAACGGTTTGCCTCCTCCTGCGTGTATGAACCTGTGGCCTCTGACTGTGCAGACCAGCTCTGCAGTGTCAGTTTGAACCCCTGCGACTACTCCATTACCATCAGCAGACGTGACAACACCCTCCCTTTCCCTAGCCTACAGGATTGCCAGGTTTCGTCTGTTGCTGTAGGTTTCGGTCGCCGTTTGGCAGCAGCGCTCCGACAAGCTGGTTCCTGCTCTATTCAACACAACTTGATGACAATAACAGAAAACTTACTTTTGTAAATGTGTGACTAAGTGACTTAGAGGCACACACGCACACAGAGTTATATCTCTGTTCACTTATTGGTTGCATCAGCCACAGAAACAATTCAATAATATCCTGTAGGGGCATTATCCAGACTGCAAACAGGAGTGTTTTTTTTTTTGTTTCCAAGCCCTCAGGGCTGGGGCAGTTAGTAAAGCTCCAGGCCTGAGTCTTGCTGTTAGGAAACAGGGAACATGGGAGGAGAGCAAGCAAGGCCAACAGCAGTTGGTCTCAGGCTGTCACTGCGTGTGGTGTGAAAGTAAATTGACCCCCTCCTTCAATAACTGACATTCACACACCCTCCTGAGACTTGTCGAGACAGCGTACAGAGGAGTGATTATTGGGGTGAAAAACATAATCCGACACAACTTCCAGTATTGCTCCAGACTCGTGGTTAATCATATTGCGTCTGCACTACATGCCTTTCCAGGAACATGTGCACCTCAGTCACAGTTTCGCTGTGATGATGTAATCTAGATTTAAACATCACTTTCAATCTGCGTCATTGACCCGTAACTAATTATTGAGATGTTGAGAGACTCTTACAGGACAGAGGTATAGAAGTTAAACATATCTATGTAAAGTATCTACGCTGCATTAAAGCTGCAAAAAGGGACGATACCAAAGCATAAAAATGGTCCAAAGTGTTTATGTTACAGAATAAGGAGAACAAATAAATATTGAAAAGGTTAACTGTCAAAAAAACAAACACGCCTATGTGCATGTCATGTGCACATAGGCGTTGTCTACCTTTTTTATACGTTAATTTTTAAGCATTCTGTGACTGAAAACACTCAATTCTACGGCCACTTCTTTTATCAGATCATTCATACTCTTTGTGTTTCTCTCTGCAGTTCTTTGGTGATCACAGCCGTGTTCGACAGAAATGTCAACTGCCGCAGAGCGGCCTCCGTAAGTCCTCAGATCAACATCCTTAATTAAAGATTTTCAGTTACATTGACAGATGTTAATTTCTTTTACGTCTCATTTTGTTCCAGGCTGCCTTCCAGGAGAATGTCGGCAGACAGGTTGGTGACTACTTTGTGTATTTATGGGTAGCTGAATTACTATGATTTGATGTTTATTTGCTGCCAATCACTCGGCTCTTGCTCAAACTTGCCTTGCTAGTGAAAGCTTTTGAAGCAAAGCGAGCGCTACAGGGCACAGCAGACATTTGATTAGCCAACAGTCCTTGAGCCATAAATCTCTCTTTATGTCGTAGATTACTTTAATTCTAAAATTAAATCACTTACGCCCCTTCTCAGATTCATCCGCTCAGTGTTTGACAGCGTGGGCCGTTTCCTACACAATGCACTGAACACGTCTCGGCTGTTTGTCGCTTGCTTGTGTGTCCACAGGGGACGTTTCCTCACGGTATTGACATCTTGACTGCAGCAGACTACTTCGCTGTAGGGAATCTCAACAACTGCTATCTGAACATCAGGTAAGAAACTGTGTATTCTGCACATCGGCAGCCATATTTTCTCAAGTCACACGGTAATCAAGGGAAGCTGCACTTTGGCCTGAATAATTAAATGGGTGGGAACAGGTTGAGTCCCATCCTTCCTCATTGACAAAAAGAAACCTGTCCAACTTCATGGCTGAACTTGCGGCCACAAGATTTTCTTCTCGTCTTCCTGTCCCGTTGGCCAAAGAGAGAAATACACTGGGGTCAAAGGAGAGTTGTGTGTAGACATCATTTCTGGTTAGTGAAGTACCCAGAAATGTGCAACTTTTTAATGAATGCAACTAAATATAGCAAAGTTTAGTTTAACTAAGTTAATGTGGCTAAAATCTGTTGTCGAAAGCCATTACTAATGTCGCTATATCTGTGCAGTTTACTGCTCGTGAAGAATATGTTGTTTCAAATACAATGATGAACTTCGGCCACCCTTTTTGATCGCAACAAAATCAACATCGGCTCCAAAACCCTTTCAGGAATTGTCACCTTTAGCAGAAGTGTGTCGCCACCAGCGGAGCAAATATTCAAGCAGAACAAATGGAGAAAGATGCTAGCCTCAGGGTATGACTGACTGTAGAACTGCACACAACAAAGAAAGCATAATGCAGATGTAGTAAAGGATGAGAGGGGGATTTACAGTGAGATGTCTGAAGCTGCTTTTCATTTTCTGTAGACATCAGCAGCTAAAGTTGTCTTTTTTTCTGTTTTCAAAGTGTCTATGTAGCGAGTTTCCCAGAGTACACCAAGGCCATGATAGATCATTTGATAGCCATGAAGATCAACCACTGGGATGGGTACGTACTTGTTTTTTGTGTGTGTGTGTGTGTGTGTGTGTGTGTGTGTGTGTGTGTGTGTGTGTGTGTGTGTGTGTGTGTGTGTGTGTGTGTGTTCTTTTGCATGTAACCTCCTGTGTTTTGTTTTCTTACTGACTTGTAAAGTACACAGGCTCTCTGGGTGATGTGCACTTTAAGTTAAATTAGTTGAAGTATTTGCCCGTCTTCATAAATGTCACCACATACGGGGGGGTGTAGTTGTTCTGACCACAGTGCCGTATGCTTTACATGTGCTTTGCAGAGTGATCCGAGAGCTCGCCACCAAAGCACTCCACAACCTGACGCCTCAAGCTCCTGATTATATGGCTACAACAGGTAAACAATGTCACCGGACCTGTTCCGCAGGATGTGGAGAAAGCCTGATTCCTAATGAGATGTGCCTTTTGGACATGGTCTGAAACCTATAATCAGATTTGCTCTTCTCCCCCCCCCCCCGCCCTTCTTTGTGTCAGTTTTGCCACAGCTGTTGCCCGTGGCAGTGGGTGTTGACCTCCATGGCCGCCATGGAGCCATCCTAGCATGTGCAGAGATCACACACGCTCTGTACAAACTGGGCCTTCAGACCAACAGGTAGACTTTAATACCCAGGTGTCCGAGTCTATACACCTGTTTAAAACTTCTACCTGAACAGTGGTCGTACTCTGTGAAGATGAGCTGTTACTAGGCGGCTAGGAACAGAAGGCTATGACGCTTTGTGTGGCGCAACAGACAAGAACACAATATGTCTGCTGATGATGCAGCGACTATAGTTTATTTTGAATCATTTGGTTCTCTGCTCTATGAACTGATGCTTTGAACTGGGATGAGTCTCTCATGTATTTGTCCTACAGGACTGAGGTGGACATCATTTCTTCAGAATGTGTGGATGCATTAAAGAACATTCACCACACGGTACGTGTACCTGAACGAGCGTCATAAAAATGTTCCAAGTTGAATAAACTGTTGCTGACGTTCATTTTGTTGGCTTACTTTCAGCTTAATGACAGGAAACAGTACAGGTAGGTGGGAAGGAGATATTGTTTATTAGCAGCATGTTTGAAAAATCTCTGAAAATGTCTTAAATAACAATTCTGCGTTTGTTTTCAGGGGTTTTGGTGGAGAGCTAATGAGGCCAGCAAGTAAGTAACAGCAATTAGAAAAAAAATGGCTTCCGCACAACAAATGATTGGTTTTAATGAGTTGTTGCACAAACACGATGAAAGACGATAAGCAGTGCTAAGTTCTCACCATACAGTCGATGTGATCAGCTTGATTTTTTTTCCCTACAGTGTGCTGTCTTATCGAAAAGATGTCGCTGTCCAAAATGCCTTTTAAGAACGATCCCGTCATCTGTAAGTTAACTTTTGCTTTTATGCTTTTAAATCTTTTGTATTTTCATCGCAACGTCTGTAATGTTGTGACACTTTGCTTCAGCTGGCTGGCAGTGGCTCATTGACGACACCATCAAGAGTAGTGTGAAGGATGCCAATATGGTGAGCTTTTCTTTATACGATGCAAGTAACATTATGGATCAAAGAGAATGCACAGTTTACCTTTTACTTTGCCGATTAAATACGAGTTAAATGTTACATTCAAATGAACATATGTTTCATTTTGATACTTGAGAGTGACACTATTTGTTTATTTGCTGCTGTTCATTCAGTAAGAGTATTTGTCGTTTACTACTCATTTGCTTTGTCTGCAGGTTGCCATCGTGTCGGCTTTGTCCGCTTTGTGTGAGGAGTACTACCAGTCCGAGCTCGGCACGGCGGACTCCCAAATGCAGGGTGAGTTGAATACTATTTCCTGGTTCCACTAGTTACACTTGTGGCTGAGTTTGAAGGTAATCTCTGCATGGCACGCGTGTGTGTGTGTTTGTAGATGTCCTGGTGTCTCAGTACATTGAAGGGCTGAAGAGTCACCAGATGCTCACTCGTTGTGGATCTGCACTGGCCCTCGGCTGTCTGCCAGGATTTATGATCCATGGAAAACTGAAGCAGGTACATTTGGAGGATGTTTACGTTTTCTAGCCATTTTACAAACTCACTGCCTCAGTATTTAGATGTGTGTGTGTGTGTGTGTGTGTGTGTGTCTGTGTGTTAGATCCTTGAAGGCCTCACACACATGTGCACTGTCAGCCAGAAGGAGGGGACTTTTACAGAGTCGAGAAGAGATGCAGTCAGAGCAATTGCTCAGTGAGTTTGTATATACTCTTTCATTTATTCATTTTGTTGTCTTATTTCCTATTTTGTTACTTAAATTAGTTGTTATGGTTCAGGCTTATGCCGTCTCTCCTCTGTTCTTTGTCTTGGCTTGCTGTGTCGCCAGTAATGCTAAAATAAACACCCAGCTGACTACCTGCACGACCTGAATGACGTGTCCGTCCATTGGTTTCTCTAAACTTTGTCTTGCATTTACCCTCAAAATTCTAACTGTTTCTCATTTCCCCAGGTCATCAGCTTCTGTTATCGCCTCTGGTGAACCTTTTGGAGTCTTTTTTTCTTTTTTAAATACGCATTTCTTTTTCACCCTCCATCAGAGTGGTTGTGAAGGTCGTCTGTGCCCACGGCTCCCCAGACTCCGCTCTGTGCTCGGAGAACGTCGCAGAGGTTTACGGCGCTCTGCTCAACCGCATGAACGACTACACGACAGACAGCAGAGGGGACGTCGGCGCTTGGTAAGTTAACTTCCATCCTCATCGTCAAAAAACACACACGGATTGCACATTATTACACACATTCGCTTTTAATTAGCCTGAGGGATTAGGAATGCTCCCTGGCCTGAGGCCTCTGGTGGTGTTCTGTCCCTCCACCGAGGGACACAAAGACATGACATGCATGCCTGTCTCACTAGTAGCCCCAGGACATGCTTGCCGCCTCGCCAGGAATGTCAGCGGGCTTGTCACTTGTCCTCACTACATGGGATGGGCTTCTTCTCTCACACTTCTCTAATTTTCTTTTCTTCCTTCTTTCTCGTGAATTGGCTTCGTTTACGTCCTTATCTCTCCTACTACTCTACACTTCTCTTCTTCTTTTGCCAGGCCACACCCACGCAGGGAGTGATTTCTCTCTGCCGTGCACCTGTTTCTGGGTGTGACTTCGTCTTGATTAACATTTCGCATAAACAAAGTGTGCCCTGCGGCCATGGAGCTAATTTGACTTCAAAACTTTTGTGTGTGTCACCGTATCATTTGTCATCTTTCTTTTAAAAGAGTATGTTTAAGGAGCTGCTGCTTAATGCAAGCCGTTGGAACATATTGACTCAGGTGTGTGTGTGTGTGTGTGTGTGTGTGTGTGTGTGTGTGTGTGTGTG